ACTCACGGGAGATCCTAGCGCCGAATGGACGGCACCTCCGCGTTCAACACACGTACGGTCAACGTGACGTCTCCTCCTTCTTGATCCAGCAAGGGGGAAGGAGAGGTTGATGAAGATCCAGCAGCACGACGGCGTGGTGGTGGATGCAGGGGTCACCGCAGCAGGGCTTCGCCATTCTACTACGAGAGGGAGAGGTGTAGCAAGGACGAGGGAGGCGCCAAGACTCAAGGGTGCGGCTGCCCCTCCCTCCCCCCCCCTTTATATAGGCCCCCTAGGGGGTGCGCCGTCCCTAGGAGATGGGATCTCCTAGGGGGGGCGGCGGCCAAGGGGTGGAGTGCCCCCCAAGCCAGGTGGGGCGCCCCCCCACCCTAGGGTTCCCAACCCTAGGCGCATGGGGTGGGCCAAGGGGGGTGCACCAGCCCACTATGGGCTGGTTTCCCTCCCCACTTTAGCCCATGGGGCCCTCCGGGATGGGTGGCCCCACCCAGTGGACCCCCGGGGCCCTTCCGGTGGTCCCGGTACAATACTGGTGACCCCCGAAACTCTCCCGATGGCCGAAACTTCACTTCCTATATATAATTCTTCACCTCCGGACCATTCCAGAACTCCTCGTGATGTCCGGGATCTCATCCGGGACTCCGAACAACTTTCGGGTTACTGCATATTCATATCTCTACAACCCTAGCGTCACCGAACCTTAAGTGTGTAGACCCTACGGGTTCGGGAGACATGTAGACATGACCGAGATGGCTCTCCGGTCAATAACCAACAGCGGGATCTGGATACCCATGTTGGCTCCCACATGCTCCTCGATGATCTCATCGGATGAACCACGATGTCGAGGATTCAAGTAACCCCGTATACAATTCCCTTTGTCAATCTGTACGTTACTTGCCCGAGATTCGATCGTCGGTATCCCAATACCTCGTTCAATCTCGTTACCGGCAAGTCACTTTACTCGTACCGTAATGCATGATCCCGTGACCAGACACTTTGTCACTTTGAGCTCATTATGATGATGCATTACCGAGTGGGCCCAGAGATACCTCTCCGTCATACGGAGTGACAAATCCCAGTCTTGATCCGTGTCAACCCAACAGACACTTTCAGAGATACCCGTAGTATACCTTTATAGTCACCCAGTTACGTTGTGATGTTTGGTACACCCAAAGCACTCCTACGGTATCCGGGAGTTACACGATCTCGTGGTCTAAGGAAAAGATACTTGACATTGGAAAAACTCTAGCAAACGAACTATACGATCTTGTGCTATGTTTAGGATTGGGTCTTGTCCATCACATCATTCTCCTAATGATGTGATCTCGTTATCATGACATCCAATGTCCATAGTCAGGAAACCATGACTATCTATTGATCAACGAGCTAGTCAACTAGAGGCTTACTAGGGACATGTTGGTGTCTATGTATTCTCACATGTATTACGTTTTCCGGATAACACAATTATAGCATGAATAAAAGACAATTATCATGAACAAGGAAATATAATAATAATCCTTTTATTATTGCCTCTAGGGCATATTTCCAACATAAAGTTGGAGAAACTGTCACCCACCAGCCACCTTTGTGCAAAGCACGTCGGGAGAACCGGTCTCGCGTAAGCGTACGCGTAATGTCGGTCCGGGCCGCTTCGTCCAACAATACCGCCGAACCAAAGTATGACATGCTGGTAAGCGGTATGACTTATATCGCCCACAACTCACTTGTGTTCTACTCGTGCATATAACATCAATACATAAAACCTAGGCTCGGATGCCACTGTTGGGTAACGTAGTAATTTCAAAATTTTCCTATGCACACGCAAGATCATGGTGATGCATAGCAACGAGAGGGGAGAGTGTGATCTACGTACCCTTGTAGACCGATAGCGGAAGCGTTAGCACAACGCGGTTGATGTAGTCGTACGTCTTTATGGCCCGACCGATCAAGCACAGAAACTACGACACCTCCGAGTTTTAGCACACGTTCAGCTCGATGACGATCCCCGGACTCCAATCCAGCAAAGTGTCAGGGTAGAGTTCCGTCAGCACAAGGGCGTGGTGACGATCTTGATGTACTACGGTCGTAGGGCTTCGCCTAAGCACCGCTACAATATTATCGAGGATTATGGTGGAAGGGGGCACCGCATACGGCTAAGAATATGATCACCTGGATCAACTTGTGTGTCTAGGGGTGCCCCCTGCCCCCGTATATAAAGGAGCAAGGGGAGGAGGCCGGCCGGCCCCTATTGGCGCGCCAGGAGGAGTCCTCCTCCTAGTAGGAGTAGGACTCCTACTAGGAGGGGGAAGGAAGTGGGGAGGGAGAAGGAAAGGGGGGCGCCGCCCCCCTCTCCTAGTCCAATTTGGACCGGGGGGGGGGGGAGGAGGCGTGCGGCCCACCCTGGCTGCCCCTCTCTCTCTCCACTAAGGCCCATATGGCCCATTACTTCTCCCGGTAGGGTTCCGGTAACCCTCCGGCTCTCCGGTTTTCTCCGAAATCACCCGGAACACTTCTGGTGTCCGAATATAGCCGTCTAATATATCAATCTTTATGTCTCGACCATTTCGAGACTCCTCGTTATGTCCGTGATCACATCCGGGACTCCGAACTAATTTCGGTACATCAAAACTCATAAACTCGTAATATAACTGTCATCGAAACCTTAAGCGTGCGGACCCTACGGGTTCGAGAACAATGTAGACATGACCGAGACACGTCTTCGGTGAATAACCAATAGCGGAACCTGGATGCTCATATTGGCTCCTACATATTCTACGAAGATCTTTATCGGTCAGACCACATAACAACATACATTGTTCCCTTTGTCATCGGTATTTTACTTGCCCGAGATTCGATCGTCGGTATCTCAATACCTAGTCCAATCTCATTACCGGCAAGTCTCTTTACTCGTTTCGTAATACATCATCTCGCAACTAACTCATTAGTTGAAATGCTTGCAAGGCTTATGTGATGTGCATTACCGAGAGGGCCCAGAGATACCTCTCCGACAATCGGAGTGACAAATCCTAATCTCGAAATACGCCAACCCAACATGTACCTTTGGAGAAACCTATAGAGCTCCTTTATAATCACCCAGTTACGTTGTGACGTTTGGTAGCACACAAAGTGTTCCTCCGGCAAATGGGAGTTGCATAATCTCATAGTCATAGGAACATGTATAAGTCATGAAGAAAGCAATAGCAACATACTAAACGATCGGGTGCTAAGCTAATGGAATGGGTCATGTCAATCACATCATTCTCCTAATAATGTGATCCTGTTAATCAAATGACAACACATGTCTATGGTTAGGAAACATAACCATCTTTGATTAATGAGTTAGTCAAGTAGAGGCATACTAGTGACGTTTGGTTTGTCTATGTACTCACACAAGTATTATGTTTCCGGATAATACAATTCTAGCATGAATAATAAACATTTATCATGATATAAGGAAATAAAATAATAACATTATTATTGCCTCTAGGGCATATTTCCTTCATGCTACTGTCTATGATGTAAGGATATGACATAATTCTTCATGTATGCAGATTTGTTTAAATTAATTATTCCAATTGTCCACAAATCCTTCAAATGTCGTGACTAATCAGGCCCTGATAAATCCACCCTCATAGATCAAATATCTCCTAACTAAATCCAAAATAACTCCAAACTCAATCCAAAATATCTCCTAACTAAATCCAAAATAACTCCAAACTCAATCCAAAATATCTCCTAACTAAATCCAAAATAACTCCAAACTCAATCCAAAATATCTCCTAACTAAATCAAAACTACACTTTCTTTGAATCCAAATCAGCTGACAACTTTTTCATGCCACATAACCCTAAGTAATCCAAACTATGTCCTAACTATATCTGAATTACACTTCCTTTCAATCAAAAATCTAGTCACAACTTTCTCATATCACATATCCTAAACCTTAATCAAATCTGACCCTATCGATACTATGAAGAAGAGACTGGTCAAGATTAGAGATGGCTAGGCACTTACATGCCAAAGGCCGATGCGAATATCCGACGCGATAAAGTTGATGCACGGCGATGAGGATGATCTGGCCTCACGCCAGGGAAGAGGGTTTCACATCGGGAAAGGAGGGGATTAGGCGGCTCGTCGGAAGATCTGGCGCCGCATATAACCCGAGGGGGATCATGTGCGAGGGAGGGGATAATGGGGTGTGGAAGGGAAGGAGGAGGGGGGAGTTCCACGACGAGTGCGCGCGCCGGCGATCGGCGATGATGTATTTGCCGGAGACTAGGGCTCGAGAGAAGATGAGGAATCGCTCTAACTTCAAATGACCACACATGATGTCATTTAGTTATAATTAAGTGCCTTAATGCAATCAAGTTAATTTGAAATTTTAGGACGATAATACCCCTCGACTTAATTGGACCAATTAAACTTAAATAAATTTTTAGGTCGAAAATATCCTTGGACTTTAGTAAGGCTCAGTTAGTCTCATCCGTTGGATCGCCTATATAATACACGTACTTTGGTGTATTGCAACATATATTAGTCGGCTTTTCAATAAACTCACCTTTTGAGTTTTCTTCCCAAACTCAGTTATCTATATCCACGATTTGATGAGATAACTGAACAAGTTTTTAGGTGGTTATAACTACAATCACCGTATCCAAACAAGCGTTGCTTATTCGAAGATTAGTTAGTTAGAACCGTAGACATCCATATCCAAACAACCACTAGATGCATCTCGTGGGCTATTCATAACCGCCTCCCTCCCAGTACTCTACACCTCTTCCACCTAAGATGCACGAGACGGCGACTGCTGCCACGTTCGACATAGCTGCCCTCAGGCAACTCGCTGACGCGCGTTCCGTCCTCGCCGACGAGTCGTGACGGCCTACGTGGGGGAAGGCAGGGCGCTGATTCTACGGCGTGGCGACGGCATCTTTCCTCCTCCGTCTTCCCCTCTTCCTGTCATCCTACACGCGTTCCCTGCAACTGCCTAGCCCACCAACAGAATGGCAGAGATTTGCGATCTCCGTGCTGCCAATATAGCGTCATCCGAGGAAAGTTTGTACGTGATCAAGATAGACGAATACTCCAGGATCAAGCGGCAAACCGAGCGTGGAAAATACGTGAAATCGACCCCTTTCAGTGTTGGAGGTCACGACTGGGTTGTGTGGTATTTCCCGAACGGTTGCCACACCGAAAAGTACGAAGCCGGTTTCATATCTGTTTTTCTAGCTCTTGATTCCGCTGCGTCGAAGAATGTGAGGGCCAATGTTGGATTTAGTCTGTTTCCTGTTGGCAAGGAGGGGGAACCAGTGGGGTCATATAACAAGACCACCGAACATATCTTCCCTAGCAAAGGTTCAGACTGGGGTTTCCCTAACTTTATCAAGAAGGCAGATCTTGAGGGATCAGTGTATCTAAGGAAAGACAGACTCAGAATCATGTGCGATGTTACTGTCGTGAAGTATGGCCACAATGCTAATCGGCTTAGCTTGGTTCCTCCAAGCAACTTGCATCAGCATCTCGGCGACCTCCTAAAGAGCATGGATGGAGCGGACGTCACCTTTCATGTTGGCGGGGAGAGTTTCTTGTCTCATAGGTCCATTCTCGCCGCTCGGTCGTCTGTCTTCAGAGCGGAGCTCTTCGGTGCTATGAAGGAGGACGCCGGTCGCCCAATTGAAATCAGTGATATGGAACCTGATGTATTCAGATCGTTGCTTCACTTCATATACACCGACTCACCACCCATTCGTATGATGACCAATGGAGGTCAAGCACGTAGAGATGTGGCGATGGCTGGCCATCTTCTTGTTGCAGCTGACAGGTATAACATTGAGAGGCTGAAGCTGATTTGTGAAGAGAAGTTATGCAAGCTCATCGACTCCGACATCGTGGCGACCAGTCTGGCTCTAGCTGAGCAGCACAACTCCCGCAGACTCAAGGAAGCTTGCTTTCAGTTCCTCATTTCTCTTTCCAATTTGGAGGCGATGATGGCAAGTGATGGTTACGAGCATCTGAAGAATAGTTGCCCATCAGTTCTCAAGGAGCTGGCTGTTAGCTTCCTGCCTGCTGAGCTGAAAGTGGTCAAAGATATTATCATGACAACTTAGTAGCATGGCAATGATCATAGCATCTTATCTATTTTAGTATCCATATCTTCTACCATAGTACCTGCAAAAGAGCTTATCTCTATAAATATCTGCATATCCACTTTGCAATCAGAATGCGAATTGATTGCGCGATTCCTGTGTTCTTTTATTTGCTGGGATGCAATATTAACGTCGAACTGGATTTGATGTCCTTGCTGCATGCATTTTTTGTTACGGCTTTTAATGATTTCCAAGGTTCTGCCGTTAGCTCACTCCATAGAAACACAAATGTGCTAGATATTTTTATGATGGAAGGGATTTCTCCATGCTTTTTTTGATAGAAGGGATTCTATGTAAAATCTGGGTTCCGGCGTTAGCTCATCTTATATATGCAGTTTTTGTTACTGTTTTTAATGATTTCCAAGGTTCTGCAGTTTGTGCTCCATCCATAGTCCTGTTTTCCCCTTTTTTAGTGTGGCACTGCCAAGTTTTTGATGGACTGAAAAATTCACCTACCTTGCTTAATGAATATATTGGCTCAGTGATTCCAAGCATAAAGTTCTTGACATGATTAATTTGCGTATGGAGAACTGCTCAATCTCGAGGCTTCAGTAGGCTTATCACTCTGGGAACATGCGTATACAGGTGTACTTGGGCCCACTTTTCTTCATAATCAAGTCGTCGGTAATAAGCACCTTGGCGGCGTGTGAGGCCGTGATCTTCAGTAGCTGGTTCTGTAATAAGTAGACAGCTCTTTTGTAGTTGCTCTAGTCTTTTCTTATGCTGTTAAGTGTGGTTGGTTCCGTCAGTTGATATAGGATGGTTAATGTGTCGACCTCAGTCTATGGATTTGTTACCTGGGGTAAAGGGTCGTTGGTGATGTGCTGCGGCTGTAACCTGGGGGTAAAGGTCTTCCCCTTCACTCAAACTGATCCTAGGTTCGTTTATCAGTTCCATATGAATGAAATTACAGGCAAATATGCTCCTTTCCTTACAAAAATAGTGTCGGTAATTAAACACATCCAGGTGGAGGCTGGACAACAGATGGCAGCATATGTAAGTCGGGCGGCGCGAAGTCGAGCTGAATGCGAGAGAAGCACGGCGACAGCAGCGTGACAGCAATGCCGGGTTAGGCCAAGGTCACCATGGACGAGAGCGGGATCGAGAGGGGTGTCGGGCTAAAGTGACAAGTGAGTCCAGCAGGGCGAGTCGCGCAAGGGCATCTGCCCAGTAAATTTTGACCCGTAGCTAATCGCGAGCCATTTTCACCAATCAGTGGCATTCGGCCTGTGATTTCTTCAAATTCCTCGTGTGGGTAAATCTGGGTTCTGGCATTAAAAATACAGACGTTCGGTGCGGCTCCACGCCCATGAAGGCGTCGTGCAGTGCATGGGCCGGACTCGACCGTGTCCAAGAGGTCAGCGTTGATACGCATCCGAAGCTAGTTATCCCAGTGTTCCTAGATTAGGATTCTTATTTGGCATGTAATCTGCTCAGTTTAAATGGCAGCAAAGACCTAGAGTTCTTATTTGGCATGTATCTGCGTTTGATTTGCTTCGAGACAGATCGATCGAACTTCCCACGGTACGTACTATATAGACGCAGGGAATTTCACGTTGTTGCCGTTATTCCATCCGGGTGCAATCTAAGGGACGACAAGAATGTCAGAGCGTCACGATCTTGCTGCTGCCATTGTAGGGGGATCGGAGCAAAGGTCATGTGTGATCAAGATAGACAGCTACTCAAGAATCATGGGGATGGAGCGTGGCAAGTGCGTGCAATCTGTCCCATTCAGCGTTGGGGGTCACGACTGGGTTCTCCGGTACTACCCAAACGGCTGCGACAGCAAACATTATGAAGCCGGTTCCATATCTGTTTTCCTAGCTCTTGATTCTGATTCCTCCAAGGATGTGAGGGCAAAATTTAGATTCGCTTTGCTCGACAAGGACGGGGAACCAGTGCGTTCAAAAGGCAAGACCGCCCGCGAACGCATCTTCTCTAGCAAAGGTTCTGATAAAGGTTTCAGTAATTTTATCAAGAAATATTTTCTTGAGAATTCAGGGCATATAAGAAACGACAGTTTCAACATCCAGTGCGATGTTACCGTCATGAAGTCTACCCGCAAAGGTAGTCGGTTTAGCTTGGTTCCTCCAAGCAACTTGCGTCAACAACTTGGTGACCTAGTGAAGAGCATGGATGGAGCCGACGTGACCTTTCATGTCGGCGGGGAGAGTTTCTTGGCTCATAGGGCCGTGCTCGCCGCTCGGCCATCCGTGTTCAGGGCGGAGCTCTTTGGCGGCATGAAGGAGAATGCCGGCGGTCCAATTGAAATTTGTGATATGGAAAGTGACGTGTTCAAGGCCTTGCGCCACTTCATATACACAGACTGACTATGTGCCTGTTCCCGAGATGACTGATGGATGTGGAGCACGAAGAGAAGCGGTGATGGCTGGCCATCTGCTTGTTGCAGCGGACAGGTACAACATTGAGAGGCTGAAGCTGATATGCGAAGAGAAGTTGTGCGAGCTCATCAACTCTGACATCGTGGCGCCAAGTTTGGCTCTAGCTGAGCAGCACAGTTTCGATACAATTAAGAAAGCTTGCTTTAAGTTCCTCGCTTCCCCTTCTAATTTGAAGGCGATGATGGCAAGCGATGGTTACGAGCATCTGAAGAATAGCTGCCCATATGTTCTCAAGGAGCTGGCTGCTAGCTTCCTGCCTGACGAGCTGAAAGCGGCCAAAGATATTATCATGACAATTTAGTAGTGTGGCTAATCATCACCGCATCTAATCGGTTGCATGTAGAAGGCTCAAGGCAAAACTATCTAGATCCAATTTAGCAATCAGAATGCGAATTGATTGGTGATTCCTGTGTCTTGTATTTGCTGGCATGCATGACTAGTGTCGAAACTGAATTTCTTGTGCTTGCTGCAGTTTTTGTTATGGTTTGTCAGGGCTTCAAGTTTCTTCAGTTTGTGCTCCATATGTACTCCTGTTTTTCCCTTTGATAATGTGGCATTGCCAAGTTTTTTTATAGACTGAAATATTCATCTACCTTGCTTAAGAAAGATACTTTCTCACTGATGATTCCAAGAATTTTTTACATGATTACCTTGAATACGGGAAAAAAAACTTTGAATATTTCTTTCCCTATCAATCCCGAGGCTTCAGTATGTTTGCCAATACAGGAACATGCATACTTGCAGCCTGAATTTCTATTTGCCGTGATAATATTTTCCGCTGATTTAAGCACATTGTCACACAGCTCAGACAGCTCAGACACAAAGCTATGCATGGAGGTTCTAGCAATTTTAGTCGCCTAGTTGCTCACTGTTTTCTAAGCATGCAGCACCTTATACCTGATCGCTCGACCATGTTGGAAACTTGGAACACAAATGCTTCATAGGAAATATAAGGTATACATCTATGTTATTCGGATTTATTTTGAGCATGTGTTTGTTGTTTTGTTCAAAGTATATCAATTACGTGATACAAAATTCATATTGTTGGACTCAAATTTAAAATATTTCTTAGTGGTATTGATTGTGTATCAGTAACACACATGTAGCTTTATTTTTTTCACCACATCATTACCTCTTCAAAAATATCTCACTATTGGGATGAAAATGGAGCAGAAGCGGAAGAAACCAAGTGTCCCACTTACCATTTTTGCCTATGTTTTTTAATTTGTGTAATTTGTCAAATAAAATGAAAAAAAGGTGTTGTATTTGTGCTCTATTTCATCTTTGCCAGGACAAATTTACAGTTCTCTGCGCATTTTAATCTTTAGTGTTCGATTATTATTGGTCAGTGTTGAATCACCAGATTGTTTTCATAGTTTAGTTTACTCAATGATCCATATTATTTAAATTCTAGCTTTGCCTAAATTAAACTTATTTAAGTTTGACCACTTCTAAAAGATATTATTGGCATCTAAACCACCAAATTTGTTTAATTGGATTTATTATCAAACATACTTCCATGCTACATATATTCATGTTGCGGGTATAAGCTAATTTTTCTATACAATTGGTCAAAAAGTTTAATCCGATGGGTTGCAGCACCCCGGCATCTCTACCATACCATCTTGTGGCCGCTGTCCTAGCCACGGTGCAATGCTGGTGGCAGCTTCTGGTGAGGTCGGTTCCGGCTCTGCCCTAGCCGATTGCAGCACTACATCTACCGGTTGCAGACTGTGGCGAGCCGAAGCAGCCTCACCTCCCCGCCGACACGGCATTCGCTTCCGCAATAAAAAGAACACCAGCTCGCCTGTCCTCTACAGCACTTGTAGCTCCCCCATCTATCTCCTGGTTGTGGTACAAGGCGTGGTAGCAAAAAAAGGTCGGTTGTTTGGTGTGGTTGAAGGTAGTCGACTGTGCGGTAATTTTGAACAGGACAGATGTGGGCGCGGTGGCGACGAGCCCGCCGGTAGTAGCGGGTGAGCCAAGGAAAGAAATGAGAGAAAGAGACGAGGCGATGGAGATTTCTGTGGGTGACTTCTTGAGAAGATAAGAACAACCGGTGAGATAAAAATGGGAAGGTGTATGGTGGTGATGCATGGGGCCACATGGAAGTGTAGACGAGCGACATGAGACCTGCGAAAATTTAAGTCGGACGGCCAATGGGAATTGACAATTGATATGGATCGGAGAAAATATCCTTCTCTCGCCCTCATTAGGTGGCAGTACGTGTTTCGTCATTCTTTCATCGTCAAATCTTCCTCTTCTATGCTTCATTGTCTATGATTGGTTAACTGGCATGATGCTTCTCCCATGATCACTTAATAAGTTAGACCACAATATAAGTTCAAATGAAAAATAATTTCGTTTGGTTCACTTTACAGTAGAGGCATTCTAGGTTGTGCACCTAAATTGGAAAAATGGAAATTTAGCCTCTAAACACCAGAAACAAATCAATCCTTATGCATTTTGCGAGATGATTCAAAATTAGTTATTGGTAAAATCGTGTTGAATATGTGTATTGGGTTACTGCTAAACTTGGAGCACGCAGAGGGTTAGGTGTTTGAGTCAGACACGTGTAACCCAGGACTATTACATAGAGTCACCGCGGGTAGCCAAAATATACTAGACATAAGTTAGGCTAAGTCAGAGATTACGAGAGGGATGGTCCGGATGCCTGTGGTAGTGGTGGCCGGACTGGCTATGGCGCGGTGGTCGGAGTGTTGTCTGGTGGCTTGAAGGCTTATCGTTGACTTGTATCATGTGATTGGTACATGGGTAGGTGGGCCTGTAATCATGCCCTCGGAATTAGGGATAATGGTAAACCTGGTTAACATAATATCGCGTGTCTTCTCTACTTTTCTGCAATGATAAATATCTGTGGAATTTAGTTCATGGATTTGTATTTCTTTTTTGCAAACTAAACATATGCTCACTAATCTAAAAAAAACATTCATGAAGTTTAATAATGTTCAAGAATCATAAATTGTTCCTGATTTAAAAAATGCTTATGTATTTAAAATGTTTGCAAATTCTAAAAAAATGAACGTTGGAAAATGTTTGAGACTTTGACTTTTTTCACAATTTAAGAAAATGCCCAGGAAATTACAAAAATCTTCAAAAACAATTGTGAATATTAAAAAATACTTGGAAATTTCGAAAATACTCACAAATTAAAAATAGGAAGAATGAAAAATAGAAAGGAAAAACCAAAAATATGAGAAGATAAAACTATAAAATGAAGAGAGAGAAACAAGAAAAGAAAAAGAAAAAACTCGGCAGAAAATTCCCAATACCAGAAGAATTACCCGGGTTGGCCCCGTAGCGCGGCTGGCTGGACGTTTGCTCAACAATTAAGGCCAATCTTATTTGCCGCCAACAATCATCGAATAGGCAGCAAGCCACCCAGGGCGAATCAGGCCGTTGGGGTTTTCTGTTGTGTTTGTCTGATGCGTTACTACAAA